AGAGAGCTGGCGTGGGACGGGTTAAACCAGAAAATATCCCCACGTTGTTCTTCATCCCAGAATAAAGTCACATTCGGCAGCGTGAAGCGTCTTGGCTGCTTTTCCGTGGACTTCGCTCAGTTCTCTCCAGAAGTCATAAAGTATTATATCACATCATTTACTTTACGATTCAGACTCGCGCAGAACAGAACGTCAAACCGAAAACCCTTTTTGTCACATTAATGCATCTTTTTTTTTCATGTAGTAATTATAAGCAGAGTTTGTTTCTTGAGATTATAGAGAATCAAAGCTCAGAGCCAGAGAGACGCTGCTCTGATACTTTAATGAAGATCTGAATATGAATATGAATGCGCATGACAGACGAGTCTTTATGATATTACAGTTACAACTGAAGTATGCCAAGTGTAAATAAATCTAAATCCCTAGTTTGGAAACCTTGACATAATGAAAGGTTTTATGCATTTAATGTGTTGTTAATAACAACAAATGGAATATATTTTCTTTCTATTTGAATTTTTATATCAATATGGTACAAGATTATCCTATTTAAATCAATGTGATAAACCGAGTTAGGTCAAAAGTAATCTAAAAGTAATCAAAAATTAAATGCATGTAATGTGTAATTTTTTGTCATGTAATTTTGAATCGTAATTTATATATATATATATATAATTTTTTTGAGGTCTTGGCGTTTCATTACATTAATATTGCTCAGAGGTTGCTATTTTATAGCTCAGGAGACTTAATGTTGTTCTGGGCTATATAGATATAGATATATTGATATAGATTTGATATAGATAGATACTTTGATATAGAGGAAGAGAATGGATTTGACTTTTGATGTCAAATCATGGTAAACCTGAGCAAAGTGTAAGACACTGTTGAGATCTCTTGTGAAATGCTTGAGGAGACACATCTGACTGAGAATCATGAGACTTTAGTAAATGGACAAATGTAAATGGTTTTGCATTTAATCTCAGGAGAAACCTGTGAAATATTAAGGATATCCCATTTGTGATTTTTCTTTTCTATAAAGCTTGATATGGTTCTTCATATGAGAACTGAATTCTGTTATGGCAAAATAATGTGTTGCATTGACACTGCATGCCAGCACATGAAGATCCAGACAGCTACAACAAATGACTTCACTTTCAGATGAACCTCTTCATCAAGATTTAATCTGATCTGCTCTGCTCTCAGACAGTGAGGATCAATGCAGCGCTGATTTACTGTCATCTCTATCAAACACACAACAACAAGATACTATATTTTCTGAGCCGTAGACTGGCGCACAGTACGGAGAGAAGCTTTCACTGAACTTCATTAGGATTCACACGTGCTTCATCAGAAATCTGTGAAAGAAAGTGGAAAAATTCACTAAAGAGATCTCTTTAATATCTCAATCGTTTCTCCTCAACAGCAATGAGGCATTTGCTCGAGTCTCCTGCTTCTCAGATGTTTCTCCTGAGAAAGTGAGTAATCTCACATAAGAGTTGCAGAGGAAATCTCAACAATGTCTCAAAATGTGCTCAGATTTGCCAAGATACAAAAGTCTGCCATGGAAAGACTCAATATGAGCTCAAACATTTCTCATTAAACTCCACACAGAGCCAGTGATCCACATTTTTATACTCTTACTATATGTGACCCTGGAGCACAAAACCAGTCTTAAGTGTAAATTTTTGGAAATAATGAACTAAATATATAAGCTTTCCATTGATGTATGGTTTGTTATGATAGGACAATATTTGGCCGAGATACAACTATTTGAAAATCTGGAATCTGAGGGTGCAAAAAAATCGAAATATTGAGAAAATCATCTTTAAAGTTGTCCAAATGAAGTCCTTAGCAATGCATATTACTAATCAAAAATTAAATTTTAATATATTTAATCATAATGATTTTTGTCAAACATACAGAGTAACTGTGATTGGATGGCCATCTCCTGCAGTGCTGCTGTTCTCCAGTGGGAGGAGCTTCAGCAGATCTCCAGCTGTCAATCAAACGGATGGATGCTGGTGTTCATAGAGGTTTGAGATGTTATGTCATGCTTCAGTTCACTCAAGTAGACCAGAGATACTAACATAAAGAACCAAAGTGACTGTGACACTATCACGGTTACACAAAACCACTGCAGCAGATTCAGCTGAGAGTCACTATAAAACAGACCGGGGCTAGTTGTCACAAGGGGAATATTGAATTGCACAATGCTTGTTTTCTCCATCAGTGGTTTTGTGTGTTCGTTTCAAACATCTAGAATAATATTTGTGAATTCTCACAACTTTAGTTTCAGACTGGGACAAGTTTTCACATGCATTTTAACTGCTGTAATTGTAGTAAGTGGCTTTCTGGGCTTTTTTTTGTAGTTACGTTTTCCATTTTTGCATGTTCATGAATTGTTTCACCATTGTTTTACTGTCTAAATTCTACTGCAAAGCCTTTAATAGGCTATTTAAGGGCAGGTTTGCATTGTGACAACTTACCCCATATAGTGTGACAACATGCCCCATTATTGTTTGTATATTTTTTGCAGGCAGTGATGTTAAAAATTTGCAGTAGTTTTGTTTTGGTCAGTACAGAAATGCTTTATTCAAGCAAAAAATGTGACAACTAGCCCCGGTCTCCCAATTATATACCTCTAACTTGGTTTTATTTGAGTTTGAAAGATTGATTAAAGTTGATTAGTCCAGAGTTTTGCTTTAAATATTCATATTTGTTGTTTTGTGAACTGTCAGCTTTTTCAAGAAGCACAGCTTATAAAAAGACATTTTCACAGGCATGTGGATTTCTCTAATTAGCTGTCAGTGTTTTTCTGAAGGCAAACAGACACATCACAGCATGAATGGTAATTGCTGTTTGTTCTACAGAGCAAATAGTTTTACATACATCTGCACAGCAAACAACACCAGATCAGCAGAAGAACACTTACTTCCAAATATCAGTCTATGAACCATTTAATACATTGACTGTTTTTCTTGTACATAATGAGTGTGTTTAATGTGCGTGTGCTGTACATTTCTGCAGCATGCTTGCATGCATCGTTCTATTAGAGGAACAGTCCCTCAAAAATTAAGAATTATTATTTTGTAACCCTCGTGTTGAGCAGAAGAGAGCTGTGAGTGTTAGCCTCAGTTAGGGCTGCACGATTAATTGAAAATAAATCACAGTATGGCTTAGAGTGATTATCAAGGTTGTAATTTAATGTTTAACGTTTGAAAATGAAGATCTTAAGACAGCCAGAAATATTAGCACTATAAAATTAAATTATTATTATTATCATTATTGTATTTTTATTTTAAAGTGAAATATTACAATAATAGTATTGTAGTATTTCATAAAATTAAAATATAACAATAATAATGAAATATTACAATAGTAATATCCTAATAATAATAATAATAATAACAACAGTTGTTATTATTATTATTATTAGTAGTAGTAGTAGTAATATATTTTTCTAAAATGTGACCCTGGAGCACTAAACCAGTCATAAGGGTCAATTTTGTGAAATTGAGATTTATACATCATCTGAAAGCTGAATAAATAATCTTTCCATTGATGTGTGGTTTGTTAGGATAGGACAATATTTGGCCGAGATACAACTATTTGAAAATCTGGAATCTGAGGGTGCAAAAAAATCTAAATATTGAGAAAATCATCTTTAAAGTTGTCCAAATGAAGTCCTTAGCAATGCATATTACTAATCAAAAATGAAGTTTTGATATATTTACGGTAGGAAATTCACAAAATATCTTTCATGGAACATGATCTTTACTTAATATCTTAATGATTTTTGGCATAAAAGAAAATTTTTTAATTGTGACCCATACAATGTATTGTTGGCTATTGCTACAAATATACCCCAGCGACTTAAGACTGCTTTTGTGCTCCAGGGTCACAGATATCATAACTACTGACTCATTTGTGTCTGTTTTTATTTCTCCTAAAATAAATCAACTGAGACAAAGTTGAAACTTAAAGGAGATCAAACTGTGTAAAAAGTGAAAAGTCCACTTACGAGTAGACACGCCCCTTATTGCTGATTGGCTACAAGTTTGTTTTGCGATTCGGCCCGAATCAGTTTTATAAAGTGTTTTTGAAAAATCACTTACTCTGCCTTTAAGTAGTTATTGCTACCTGATGTGATCCTAAAATCACTTGCTGGTGGATCTACTATAGGTTGATTCAGTAATATTTCGGGATAAACTAAATAAAAAGTCAGAAATCTCAATATGAATGCAAACATTTCTCATTAAACGCTACACAGAGTGAATAATCTTTGTTCTAAAGCTCTATATTCTTATGACTACTGAATGTATAACTATTGATTCATTTGTCTGTTTTTATTTCTCCTAACAAAATAAATCAACTGAGAGAAAGCTGATACTTAAATGAGAGCAAACTGCAGTGCAAAAAGTGAAATGTGCCATTATATTAAGGAGTTATTGCTACCTTTATGTGATCCTAAAATGACTTGCTGGTGAATCAATGATTGACTCATTTGTGTCTGTTCTCATCTCTAACTAAATTTGTGTCTGTTCACAAAATAAATCAACTGAGGCTTAGCTGATACTTCATTGAGACCTAACCGCAATGTAAAAAGTGCAGTTATGCAGCATTTCTTCTGGTTGGTAAATGAACTTTTGACTGATTTGTGCGTTATATTTCTCCTAACAAAACTAATCAACTGAGACCAAATTGATACTTGAACAAGATCAAACTGCAGTCAGAAAAGTAAAAAGGTTCAGTTATATTACTAAAGCTAGTGCCTTATGTGATCCTAAATGACTTGTTAGTGAATTTGATTCAGTAATTAATTAAGATACTACAATGTAAAGCAGATAAACTGAGAGAACTTCAAGTTTCTGGAGCTATAAATGAGAAACATCTCAGCAGTAAGACATCCATTTGGAGAAACAGACAACTACCAACTAAAAGAAAAAACATCAATATTTCACAAACACACGGCATTAAAAGTGAAAGATAAGAAAAATACTCACTGTAGTGATTCAGATGGCAGTCCACAAAGTTGCCTTAACAATCCATAAGGATATTTCTTCTGCTGCTCAAAATCTTTGGGGTTATTGTCCTTGAGTTTGTCTCGACGGCAGGTGAAAGAGATGCTGAGACTCAAGCTGAGTCTGAAGCTGTCTGGACTCGCTGAGCTCCTCTGCTGCTTGTGAAGCACATGAACATTCAATATATATATATACGAGCTTCAGGGCTGCTTCTGACATCACTGAGTAGTCAACATTACCGCCTCACACACACAAGACATGCTGCATATGAAATGAGACGATGCCTCAACACACACACACACACACACACACACACACACACACATAAAGTGTGGGTTGTGGGGTTTTATATCCAACCGTATGCCAAAGTAACTTGCGTGTCTTTTTTTAAAACAAGAAAATCACGTTATTCGTTTTTCACAGTATTTTTTGTGTGATTCACACCGGTTGGAAAAAAAAATCACACACAGGGACACATACTTTCCCAGAAAACTTGCCCCGTCACGTCACTGATGCACACGGCGATACCCAACACTGTTATTTCAGTAGCTTAAACTTTTCTCAGGAACAGTAATATTATCATTTAAAAGCCAAATGTGAAAACAGCCGAGGAGACGCAGCAGCCTCGATTGTCTCTGTGATGTGGCGTTAAACAGCGTGCTGTGATAATTAAGTCGGGCCCTCGTGTGGAGGAATGCGAGCGAGTGTGTGACTCAAGTTTTCAGCCCACTGCTGTGTGCTTAGCGTCACAGCTAATCTGAGAGAGAGAGAGCGAGCTGGTCTGAGCTATGGTTGTGCTATGTTTAGTTGCGGACGCTGCTGGTGGTTTGGGCTTTACTGCGCTGGATCCTTCTCGCAGCCGCTGGCCCGTGCCGTGTGTATATGACCTGCTAGCATTCCCTCGCTGACTGGGAAGGGCACCGCAAACACTAAAAACACCAGACGATTACAGTATTAGGGTCTGGACATAGTCTGTCTGGACTGAAATGAAGATTATCCGTGGTGTAGCTGCGGGCAGATTGTATGCGTTTCGCCGTAAGGAGTTCATGAGTGATTTGTGGCATTGATAACAAGTGTTTGTTTACTTGTGGGTTAGGGGTCTTTATAGTTTTGCATAACCGGAATTTGATCTGCATAAAGTCTGGTTCACGTTGCAGTTTGTCCTGCCCATGAAGCATGTACTTGGGAAGGGTTTGCTTTGTTTATAGGCGCACAAGTTGGGTCTGATAGGGTCAAAATGAATGCCACATGCTTATAATAAACATAACATTAGTTAATTGCATTAGTTAACTTGAACTAATAATGAAAAAGACTTCTAAAGCATTTATTTATCTTCGTTTCATGTCAATTTCAACATAAAATCAAAACTCGAATCTGTTGATATTATTTAATGGACCTGAACTAACATGAACTATCATTTAATATTTTTATTTTTATTAAAGGGAAAGTTCATCCAAAAATGAATTTACTCACCTTCAAGTTGTTCCAAACCTGTATGAATTTCTTTAGTCTGCTAAACACAGAAGGTATTTCGAAGAATGTGGGTAATCAAAAAGGTTGACGGTAGCCATTGACTTCCAATGACTTGAAGTCAATGGCTACCGTCAACCTTTTTGATTACCTACATTCTTCAAAATATGAGTAAATGATGACAGAATTTTCATTTTTGGGTGAACTATCCCTTTGACTAACGTTAACAAAGATTAATAATGTATTAATTAATGGGAACTTGTTATAAAGAGTTACCAATGCAACTAATCATATGAGCGTCACACAGATGAATCCCAGCAAAAGTTCCTCTAATGTTTGCACATGGTTCGAGTTTGATTTTGGGTTTTTTGGTAACCAATTGTGACCCTGGAGCACAAAACCAGTCATATGGGTCCATTTTTTGAAATTGAGATGTATACATCCTCTGAAAGCTGAATAAATAAGCTTTCATTGATGTATGGTTTGTTAGGATAGGACAATATTTGGCCGAGATACAACTATTTGAAAATCTGGAATCTGAGGGTGCAAAAAAATCAAAATATTGAGAAAATCACATTTAAAGTTCTCCAAATGAAGTCCTTAGCAATGCATATTACTAATCAAAAATTAAGTTTTGATATATTTACGGTAGGAAATTTACAAAATATCTTCATGGAACATGATCTTTACTTAATATCCTAATGATTTTTGGCATAAAAGAAAAATCAATAATTTTGACCCATACAATGTATTGTACAAATATACAAATATAATACATTTTGTGGTCCAGGATAAAAGTATCGGTATCGGGCGAGTACTGGAAAAAGTGGTATCGGTGCATCCCTAAAATATACTCAGTTTTATTATTAAAATTAGAAGAAATAATAGGATAAGAAAAATAAACTTCTCTGTGTTCTCTAAAAACAGGTCTTATCTTACATTTGTGACCCTGGACCACAAAACCAGTCATAAGGGTCCATTTTTAAAAAATTGAGATACATACATCATCTGAAAGCTGAATAAATAAGTTTTCCATTGATGTATGGTTTGTTAGGATAGGACAATATTTGGCCGAGATACAACTATTTGAAAATCTGGAATCTGAGGGTGCAAAAAAATCAAAATATTGAGAAAATCACATTTAAAGTTCTCCAAATGAAGTCCTTAGCAATGCATATTACTAATCAAAAATTAAGTTTTTATATATTTACGGTATGAAATTTACAAAATATCATTATGGAACACAATCTTTATTTAATATCCTAATGATTTTTGGCATAAAAGAAAAATGGATAATTTTGACCCATACAATGTATTGTTGGCTATTGCTACAAATATACCCCAGCGACTTAACACTGCTTTTGTGCTCCAGGGTCACAATTTATAATGTTCTAGGAACGTTCTGTGAAGGCGCTATTGTTTGTAACCATTAACGAACATTGCAAGGAGGCAACCTAAAAAGAACACATACAGCACATTGCCTAAATGTTATTTTTAGGTTTTATTTTTATAATCATAACCTAACCTTCCTAGAATGTGCATGGGAGGTTTTTCATGACAACCTAATGAGAACGTACAAACATGGAATGTTCCCCCAAGGTTTGCACATGGTTCTTGTTTTGTTTTTTGGAACAAATTCTTAATGTTCTATGAACATGCTCTTAAGGTTCTACAGTTTGTGATTATGAGAACTTACACAGAACATGCTCTATTATGGTTAATCTATAAACTAATTGGTTCTGGGAACCAAAAACTGTTGGATTCTAGGCCTCTGCCTTTCACTGCTAAATGGATCAGACATCCAGAGGACAAGCAGTTCTACATAATTTGGTTGTATGTGCTGAGCAGCTCAGCCTAAAGACCATGCAAAGAGTTTCTTTCATCTGAAGAAGATTTTTCAACGATTGCAGAGAAACAAACAGTTAGCGGTAGCCACTGACTTCTGCAGCATGGACAAAAAAACCATGGAAGTCAATGGCTACCGGCAACTGTTTGGTTACCAATATTCTTCAAAATATCTTCTTTTGTGTTCAACACAAAACAGAAACTCATTCAAGCTTTGAACAGCATGATGGTGAGCAAATTAATTAAAACATTGACTTCAAACCTGGTAAAACATGATATCAAGAGGTAAATATGGGTTTTCAAAAGTGCAAATGAATTATGAAAACTCGCAAACAATAATCAATAAATCAAATAAATCATTTAGAAAGATTGTGCACAAGTCGGATTGTTACTGTGCTTTAGTTTTTTGTCCTTTTTGGAGTTTGACATGACCATGAATTGTAATAGATTTTTGGGTGAACTATTTCTGGCACAGGACTCTGTTATTATGACATGTTTAGGACTCAAAGTTATTGTATCAAGTACATTTGGACTGTTGAAGCAGCAGGCATGGCCCGAATCAGGAGGTTTCTTGAGGTCCAGTGCTGGTGCTGTGTGGTCCGTCTCGAGTGCCAGCGAAACACTTCTCAAACACTTCACACTTTGATCTGAAACTTTCATACCTGCTTCTTCCTCAGGATGTGACTGGAAATACATCCACCTGGCAGTGATGGTGGGATTTTGTGTGTATGTACGTACAGCGCCGTTCCACTTTCTTTCCAGACGAAACACTTAAGAGCAATCTTGACCTGGAGGTCAGCCGAATTCCTCAGCCCTTTTTCTTCTTCGGAGGTAAATGGCTGTGGTTTCTGTGGAAGGCAGGTATTTTATACCCATACCAGGCATCCCACTTTAAACACATCCATCTCTGTGAAGGCACGAAAAAGAAGATGGATGTTATGGGGTCAGTCCAGGGCCTTCCATCACATGTTCCTCTGCTCGCGGGTCCAACAGAAACGACGGCTACTTTAATAATCAAACACTCGCAGGGCAAGTGAATGAGTTCATTCTCCTGTTGGCTGGCATGAGAAAGTCAAGCAGACGCTCTTTCAGACTGACAGAAAGACAAACTGCTAAGAAAAATCTCAGGACGCCAACAAATACTCACAGATTTAAGGTACAAACAACATTGGACCCCATTGACTTTCATTGTATGGCAAAAACAGACATTTTCAAAATAATGGTGAACTGTTCCTTTAACACCACATTAATTCTCATTTTTCCCAGAAACAGAAAAAAAAAACCCTGCCGTTCAAAGTTTTGGGGTCGGTTCATTTTTTCTTTCTTTAAAAAAATAATAATAATAATTTTATTCAGCAGTTAAATTGATAAAAAACATTTTTTGAATAAATGCTGTGTATAATAACTTTTAATTTATCAAAGAATCCTGAAAAAGTTTTCACATGTTCCCAAAAAAATGAAGCAGCACAACTGTGTTCAACATTGATAATAATCAGAAATGTTTCTTGAGCAGCAAATCAGCATATTAGAATGATTTCTGAAGATCATGTGACACTGAAGACTGGAGTAATGATGCTGAAAATTCAGCTGCGCATCACAGAAATACATTATATTTTAAAGTATATTAAAATAGAAAACTGTTATTTTAAATTGCAATAATATTTCACAATATTACAGCTTTTTCTGTATTTTTGATCAAATAAATACGGTCTTGATGAGCACAAGAAACCTCTTTAAAAACATTAAAAATCGTACCTATCCCAAACTTTTGAAAGGCAATGTAAATCGAAGAAACTTGTAACCGACTTGTCCGATTCC